AAGAGGGTCAGCAGGGCATAGGAAGTATAATATGTTCCTATAGGAAAACTTAGCCTTCAAACTGTATAAACAGTATATAACATTGACAATATTAGCAATACATGATAACAAGTAATCTGCCTGGCTTTACTATTAAAAAGTCAAAACAGCATGACAAGGATTATGAAAGTCATGGAACACCTTGGGACAGAACAGAAAAGTTCTACAGCTGGCCAGTAAAGGGTCTTAAAGGGGGGTTGAACAGAATCTGTGCCTGCTGTATACAATGCACAAATATATACCACAGTCCTTGTACCCACAAAATACTAATTACTGTGCCACAGCTGACAGGCTCACAGACACAAATAAACCTCAAGTCAAAGGATCATAAATTAAACGTTTCCATTACATCCGTTTTTATACACACTAACAAGATATTTTTGTCTACCAATCGACTTCTGTACAATAAGCCTTTAGGAAAAGTTCCGCTCGATCAGCACCGCTAGCTGTGGCCGGCAGCAGTGATCAGTGTATTCTGATGGTAGGGAAGTCTTCCCGCTGTCAGAACACAATACCTCGTGGGAGTGATTCAGATCAGATCTTTTTTTTTCTTACAACCTACTAATGTATGGCCTGCCTTACCGAGTCTACCTTAAAAGAGAACTTAATTAAAACCAGAAACGATTGAGAGAATGAACACCTTTGTCAGGTTTATCCACAGAGCAAATGTGTAGAATACAGAGGTCAGGAGAAAGTAAAAAACAAAACAGAATATGGAGTGCCACATTCACATCAGAATCCTCCCTTACATTAAAGTCCCCCAGTACTCCCCTTTAACATCCAAGTTCCCCCCTACACCCGTGTCTCCACAGTCCCACCTTACATCAGAGTCTTTAGAGTCCCCTCCTTACAGCAGAGTCCCACCTTACACCAGAATCCGGCTGAGTGACCCCTTACTTCAGAGCTTGACAGAGTACACCCTTATACCAGAGTCTAGCAAATTGCCCCTTTATATCAGAGTCTGGCAGAATGCCCCCTTACATCAGAATCTGGTAGACTGCCCTTTTACATCAATTTCCAGCATTGTGCACCCTTACATCAGAGTCTGGCAGAATGCCTTTTTACGTCAGAATCCAGTGTTGTGCCCCCATACATCAGAATCCAATGGAGTGCCCTCTTACATCAGAATTCAGCCAAGCACCCTCTGACATCAGTGTCTGACAAAATACCCCCTTACATCAGAATCCGCTAGAGTGCCCTCTTACATCATAATCCAGCATTGTGCCCCCTTACATCAGAGTCTGGCAGAATGCCCCCTTACATCTGAATCCAGTGGAGTACCCCATACATCAGAATCCAGTGTTGTGCCCCCTTACATCGGAATACAATGGAGTGCCCTCTTACATCAGAATCCAGCCAAGCACCCTCTGACATCAGAGTCTGGCAGAATGCCCCCTTACATCATAATCCAGCAGAGTGCCACCTTACATCACAATCCAGCATTGTGCCCCCTTACATCAGAGTCTGTCAGAATGCCCCCTTACATCAGAATCAAGCGGAGTGCCCCCATACCTCAGAATCAAGCAGAGTGCCCCCATACCTCAGAATCAAGCAGAGTGCCCCCGTACCTCAGAATCAAGCAGAGTGCCCCCATACCTCAGAATCAAGCAGAGTGCCTTCTTACATCAGAGTCAGAGGAGTGCCGGCTGCTGTGCTTCTAATCTCCCACCCACACATCTTCTTTCTTATGCACAACACTGGCTGCACATGGGGGATTGCAGTGTGGGTGGGGCAGACATGGGGACAGGGGCAGGAGGAAGTGGAGCGAATCAAGGCCCTTTCTCCTCTCCTGTTTGTGGAGGGGAAGTGGGTGTGTGTGCTGGCTGGGTCTGGTGAATGTCACACACAGCCGCTGCAGCTTGTGCTGATGGACAGTGTGCAGCCCTGCTGGGGCACAACATCCATGAGGGAGGGGAGTTGCCTGGGGGGGGCATCCCTCCCCGGAGCTCCCTTATATCCGACTATGCTTTGGCCCCTGAAAAGTGTTGGCATTATTCATCGTTGATGTCAGAGGGATGAATAGTACCCCATTGTTGATGTCAGTGGGAGGAATAGTGCCCTATCATTGGAGTCAGTGGGATGAATAGTACCCTATCATTGGTGTCAGTGGGAGGAATAGTGTCCCATCATTTTCAGTGGGAGGAATAGTGCCCTATCATTGGTGTCAGTGGGAGGAATAGTGACCCATCAGTGGTGTCAGTGGGAGGAATAGTGCCCCATCAGTGGTGTCAGTGGGATGAATAGTAGTACCCCATCATTGTTGTCAGTGTGAGGAATAGTGCACCATCATTGTTATCAGTGGGAGGAATAGTGCTCCATCATTGCTGTCAGTGGGAGGAATAGTACCCATTGTTGATGTCAGTGGGATGAATAGTGCCCCATCATTGGTGTCAGTGGGATGAATAGTGCCCCATCATTTTTGTCAGTGGGAAGAATAGTACCCCATCATTTTTGTCAGTGGGAGGAATAGTGCCCCATCATTTTTGTCAGTGGGAAGAATAGTGCCCCGCTGTTAGTCTCAGTGGCAGGAAAAATGCACCGCTGTTGCTGACAGTGGGGGAATAATGCCCCAAGGGTCAGATAAAAGCAAGCAAAAGGCCACATCCCCAGCTCCGGGCTGCAGTTTGCAGACCACTGTTATAAACCAGCAGGGTCCACCCATTCCTGAAATAAAACTTTTTGAGGGTCTTGCCCATTCCTACCTGATTAATGTCACTGCATTTTGGAGCCAATCTCATGACCCCCCCCCCCAGATAACAGGGAAACTATTTTTATACTGGAATATTATCTGGAAGTCTGTCTGACAATTTAAACATTATTACTCTGGCACAAAAGATGTGGATTCCAGCCAGCACTGTCTGTGGGCAGCTAACCTTGCATTGTGTTAGCTGATGGCCCCCTTCCCTGTATAAAGTATCTGATCTCCCTAAACACTCCCCTTTATCTATTTTGCATTAGAAGAGTTGCATGCCTGACTTGTGATTGTCTTATTCTGCTCACAATGAAGTGAGCACTGAATTGGCACAAATCCACACAAAAGACAACATTGCAAGGCAAAAACACTGAAGGATAAAGGACTGACAAATTATAGTGAACGTTCTCTTTTCTTGATATAACTTTTTCATTTTTCAACTGACAAAAAATATTATTCAGAAAGGAGGGTTACAATATCATTTGAGCACTGACTTCCGAGTGTATAATCCTAACAATTCTAATACATTCAGCTATGAAACCTCCATACACGCACATAGGTAATCCATAGCTGACCAGATGTTGGGGAACTATAAGCCCCGTCACCCCACCCACACCCAATCATGGATTGTACTCCATTTCATGGCTGGCCAAGGCAATCTGTTGGAACTACAGCTCCCAGCTTGCCCTCCTATTATTGCACAAATACAAAACCGTCCAACCTCCCGTTGTCTGTTTTGCAAAGAGAACAATAAAAAGACTTACTGTGCAGCTTGTGGTCAGTCGTGTGTCATCACTTTTGCAGCACACTGTAACAAGAAAGAAGACCAAGAGATGTTTTTATTATTTCCTATATTCATTGATTTGTAGAGTAAGTAAAAATGCATTATTAAATACATAATCCTATTTATTTATTAAATACGTTGCTAAAATTCACCCTATAAAACATACCTACATGTTTGAAAGCTGATCCTGTATTTAAAGAACCAGCAAGTACTGTATAAAAGTTACCAAAATGATAATGGAACCATTTGTAGACTGGTAACGCCAGTCATGCTTTCACAAAAGGCAGATGCCAACTTCACCTAAAATGATGTTTCAGATTCAGTCACTAGCTAAAAAAATGTGTTCTTTTTTTTAAGTAAAAGAGTTAACGTTTACAACTCCCTCCTCTTACTTTGCCAATTGCCGCTGTCTGTTGGTGTGTAGGCAGGTGCAGTCTGTTTCCTCCACAGTAGGTGGCGCTCAACCAGAGCAGTACCACATGTGGAGAGGAAGTCAGGATAAACCTGATTTCTCTATGGTTTCCTGGTCCCCCTACGCTGCATTCAGGTGACCCCTAGCCGCCAGCTTGGGTCAGCAGAGCCTTTTTAATTGCCTGGCCCCATGTTCCGGTGTGCATTTTGCAAAGTGGAAAGGAGAGGGAATGAGCACCCATCTGTCAGGGAAAGTGATAGTGGCAGGGAGAGTTTCCAGACCAGTAGAGACAGGCTAGGGACATGCCATCCTACATCAGAAGCCTCCCTATTGGGACTGGAATGGCCAGGCTGCATTCAGCCCTCTGAGACAGACACTGTCGGTGAATCCAAACCTGCTGTATTCTCAAGCCACACATAACTTTGAGTGTTTTCTGGTGTGGTGCTCTCCTGTTGGACTGACTGTTAAGTTAGGCCTTTCCTTCAATACAATTTCTAGTTCTTTGCAACCGGACTCTAATTACTTCACCGCACCACACTGCACCTACCCACAGGTGTGCTCCAAAGGGAGGCCTCACATGCCCAGAATTGGACATTAAAGTGTTACTAAACCCACATTGGTAAAATCAGTCTGTATATGCAGAATAGCGTGCTTGTTGCACTCACTGTGAAACCTAAGGGGTTAATCCTCTGCATTGTGTAAAAAGGCTGTTTGATCCTGATATCTCTGACCCTCCCCTTCTTCTACTGTCCCCAGTCCATCTGCTGATAGTACAGAGCCTTGGGGGCAGGCTGCACATGCTCAGTTTGGTGTGCAGTACTAGATGTTTTTTTTTTTTTCTTGGGAGAGTGCATGTGATCGACACGGGAACAATCAGCACTGTCTAGACAGAGGGTCAGGGGTTATGCAGCCTCATAGGACAATCAGGGGAGAATGAAAACTCCTACTACAAACTTTAACCAGTGCTCGGCTGGACACTGTTATAAGTCACACGACTGCTTTAACTGCTTATGAGAAAAGGTATTTAGCAGTTTATATTTACTAAAATAATTGCATTTCCATGTTCCGTGTACTGTGGGAGACCAGATATAGTGAATGCAGGGTCCTGGGTTTAGTAACACTTTCAGGAACACTTATAGTCTTGTCCCTCCTCCAGCCTGTGACTGGACATACGATAAGCAGCAGACTATGCACTCCTCTCTCTGGCACCCTGCTCTCTCCTCATATCAGTATGTCCCTTGTTAGAACACAAACACTGCAGTCCAACTGATTGACTCCTTGTGCTGCTTCCCCCTCCTCCAGTCTCAGCTCTGCTGTACAGAGCATTGCAAGAGGCTTATATATTGCTTGCATTAAACAATAAATGTAATAATGTATTAATGAGCACAGAGCTGCCTTCATTTGTGCCGTTTATATCTACATGGGATTCAGCTTTAAAAACATACACAACTAATCACTTAAGAAGTGGGCTCTCATACTACATAGTTGTTGGTAAACCTAAAGAAGATTGTACGATCGGATCTGTACCATAACCTGAAACTGAGACCAGGTCCATCTGTTCTGTTTTTATGGGATGCTTGGTCTGTTCAATGGCCTGCAAACAGCTGCTGAGGGTTTATAAGAGCAGGGTCCCCTCTGTTAATTGATTTTTCAGGAATTCCATGTAAAAGATCATTCACACAGAAGCAAAAAAAAAAAAGAGAGCAGCTGTCATTAGCAACTGATCAAGCTGTCATACGTTAAAAAAAAAAAAAACCCAGGATGCATCAGATTCTGATTGGCTACTATTGGAAACTCCTCCACCTTCCTATTCTGTAGGTGGCATAAACAATTTGGTTACGTTCTACGATAAGCTCTGCAGGCGGCTTAATAAGAATGGATGTTACATCCCTGTTGCAATGAGGGGGTTAAACAAATCTAATCGCCCACATAATACATTTTAATATTCAATACAATACATTTAGGGTGCACTATTAACTTGTCAGCCAACATCCCTGCTGTACAACATACCATAAATTACCATAGTACATCTGTTACGTGTTAGCGATCTGTGGAACGCAGGCCGCAGAGCTGCCAGGGCCTGTCATTGTCTCTTTGGCTGATTATCATAACAGAGGAAAAATGACGGCATCAGGAAATTATCGATTTCACCCAGTGGAAGAAAAGAGGATGCTGCCAAACTTTACAAGATGGTGGCCTGACACTGAGGACACAGGCTAGGTCTCATTTCTTAAATGGCCTTCTACAATAAAGCTGCCATTCCCAACCAGGGTTCTGTGGAATCCCAGGGTTCCTCCAGAGGTAGCTAGGGGTTCCTCGAGATGGAGCTGATTGACTTCCCATTTGATGCTGCCTGCAAAGTTCCAGTGCCAATGCTACTTGAAGGAGCCAGTAGCAGGACACCAATGATCTTTTTTTTAGCTGACTGTAATGGTGGAATATTGACTAACACTGTAAGGGTTGCGTTCCCCCCACTGACCACCAATATAAGGTTTTAGCAGGGGGTCCTCTAGAACTAAAAATGTTTTTAAGAGTTCCTTGGGAGGAAAACAGTCAAGAAAGGCTACAATAAAGGGTTACGAAGATTGGGTTCACACTTCTGCGGGTATGGGATTGCGTGTAAATAACATTCTTTCCCGCACCCTCTGCAAAAATGCAATGCAGATGTAAGGGGGTGCCATTAATTCTGCATTCCTTGCTCTTGACACTGCAGGGTGTTTTCCCGTGCTGGGAACCGCATAGCACTATGTGGTCTCCCTGTGGGTGCAATTTTGGAAAAGGTGCATGAACCTTTTTCCTGTGTTTTCCGTAGGTACAGCACCACAGTCCAATAAATGGGATGCTGTGCCACTCAAATGTGGCCGCAGGGAAAGCGCAATAGTGTGAACCTAGCCTAACATATCTGATTTGAGTAAATTAATTCCCCTCAGTTGCTATAGATTATGGCACTTAAGGTGGTTGTAAAAGCTCAAGATATTTTACCCTCATGCATTCTATGCATGAAGGTAAAAAACCTTATGTGTGTGGCAGCTCCCCCTAACACTTACCTGAACCCCATCGCAATCCAGCGATGTGCACGAGAGCCTCAGCTCTATGGGGATTCTCCCTCCTCATTGGCTGCGATAGCAGTGGCTCTGTGTGTGAATGGATATGCAGAGCAGCGGAAGTGAGCCTGCTTGGGTGCCCCCATAGCAAGCTGTTTGCTTTGGGGGCACATGGCAGGAGGGACGGGCCAGGAGCACCAGCACTGGACCCCAGAAGAAGAGGATCAGGGCTGTTCTGTGCAAAACCACTGCACAGAGCAGGTAAGTATAACATGTTTGGTTTTTTTTGTTTTTTTAAAAAACAATATTTTTGAACACCTTAAGAATTAGCACTTATTCAGTAGAACACTTTAGAAGGCATTTATGAAACAGCAGTATGGCCTTACTACGGCAAAACTGCTGCTGCACGAAGTGAAAAGATTCCACACACTCATAATGCAAAGTGATGTGCTTTACGAAGGTATTTACAACGCTTTTGGCTTTGGAACTCCAAAGCCAGCAGAGCGCTAATAAAATGAATGGAAGTTTAGCAAAAAGAAAGCCAGGGGGAGATTATAGTAATGTGATCTTTGAAAGTCATGTAACTGGCTCCCCTCCAATGACAGAGGTGCAGAGAGAGAGCTGTTGCATACCAAAGGCTCCATACCGTGGCCTGCGTTTTATGAATGGGCTGCAAAATGCAGGCCATAATATGGATTTATACTTTGTATAACAGAAAGCATACAGCAATATCTACTCTTCATTATAAATCAGACCAATTGTTAAATAGGACCAGTGGTGGGTGAACTGTACCATAGGCCATGGTCTATTCTCAGTTCATGGGTCACCAGCCAGTTTAGCTAGATTATGTGCATATATACTGTATCATGCAGAACCATTTGATACTTGTTTTTCAACTTTTCATCCTTTGTTGCATCACAGTGCTGCTGATATGTATACATGTACTTCAGCAATGGCTGCATGGCATCTCTCAGGAGGAGGTTCTTGGTGGTGAAATCAACAGACCATGCCTACTTAAAGCGAAACTTCACCTTCTCAGTCAACACTTACTTTTTTAAATCCTTATGCTGCTAGCGTTTGTAAATAGATAGGAAAGTATATCAGATTTACTTGTTTACGCCTAGGTTCACATACGTGCGGTTCCGTATATCACATGTGATTCGCACAGGAACCGCTCCGCATTCCTGTGCAAATCACATGAGATTTGTGTGCGGTGTGATTAGAGCCATACATTTTGTATGGTTCTATTCACACCACACCCGCACCACAAACATGCAGGACCCTTTTTTGGGTCTACACTAGAATTGGATCGCATAGGTATTCACACCTATGTGATCTGATTCTGCACATCGCACCGCGCTTTGTGGACCGCTTTCGGGGTGTTGTTAACTTAACATTCACACCCGCAGCGGTTCGCACGAACGCGGTGCGATTCTAAAAACGCTGCGAATTCCGCACCGCATCAGTGTGAACCAGGGCTTAAACTTTCTTTTTACATTTCTTCAGTTACTTCCTATTTTCCATGCTTACAAAAATTATGTCATACATCCCAGAAGTCTTCAGGAGGGGATTTTCTTAGGTTAGCACATCCTCCTGCCTGCATGCCTGAACTAAGGGCAGATGAATTCCAGGAAGTAAATGCTACATGAATCTTCTTCCCTTACCTAAGATGGCCATGGTCAGAAATGCTGGGGGGGTGTTTTTCAACATGATTTCTCAGCAAAATAAAATATGGAGACATGGATGGATGGGGGAGTTTGCTTTGAACATTAGAAATGAACTAAACAGCGTTTTTTGGTTTGTGGTGCTCAGATGCAGTGAAGTTCCGCCTTACCCCTGGTTCACATATCTGCGTTCCTGCGGTCCGTGTTTGCGCGGGCACAAGAGCCCATTCGTTTGAATGGACTCCCATGCCCTGGGACACGCAGGGAAGAAGTCCCTGTACTTCTTCTGAAAACGCAGCCTGCACAGGAACCTTGGTTCCCAGTACGGTTGTGTTTTCCAGTGCGGGTGGCATTCCATTAGAATTAATGGCACCTGCCCGTGGGTCTGCATTCTTCTGTGCGGGTGGTGCGGCTGCACGGATTTATGTGTGGATCCGCAGCAGCACTACCCACACATATGTGAACCTAGCCTTAAAGTGCGCTGAAGTGGCCACTTGCAGTCTCCATTGGAAGCCTGCGTAAAGCGGTGACAACACGGAAGCACAACTGAAAAAAAACAGGTTCAGAGCATTGTCACCCTATAAGAGAGAATGCCTGAACTAGGACCTTAAGGCAGCATTGGCAGGTATGATTCTAGTAAAAAGCTGCAGATTTCAAAATACTGAAAATTACATTTGAAATGATACTAAGATGTTAAATCCAGCATAGTCACAATGCAGCACTTTTAGTTGACTGGACATCAAGTGCTCCGTTATCTCTTCAACAACTGGATGTTGGAGCGACCTAATTTAGCCTTTTTTGAACAACGGCCAAATCCCAGCACCGGGAAATCAAAACGAAATGTCATGCCGCTGTTCTCTGAAATTTTGGCTCGGACTCTGGAAGATTTACTCGGAAATTACATTTATTCTAATGCTCTCTAGCATCAATATTATCTTGACAGGACAATGATTTTGTTTACAAGGGGACAAAATAACAACACTTCAATTTTCTATACGGAGTTGGGTGACTAAGATGAGGTGAGCAAATGGACTGTTGATTTACTTTGAATTGGACACAGCTAACGCTTAATTGAGATTTGCTGTTCCACTTGAATATGTGCAGATCTATGTGTCCCGCCATGCACAGAACATATATTGTAGGGTTGCTAATATCTGATCCCATCAGTGGACTGCAACCACAATCGAGGTATCTGACCTGCCAAGTCTGCAGCAAATCACAAAGTCATTTGTTTTTCTGCATTCTGACCACATCAATGTATATACAGCAGTGTTTCTCAACCTTTTTTTCAGTCAAGGCACTCTTTAAAATTATGCACAATCTCAAGGCACCCCATTCCAAAATGTAAAAACTAATAGTTTTACATAATGCAGCAATATTCGCACACGTAGGACACCCAG